TAAAAAGTTTTAGAAATTTTAGAATTAAATTCAGATTAGAATTAGAAGTAAATAAAATGAATTGCCAAGACACGAACCTGGGAGTCTCCATGTCAGGAACTTGAAGGAAGTTCGAACTTCGCGGTTTTTGTGGGCTGAGCAAAGTGGGTGCTGGTCTGGCGAGCATTTCAGCGACCGGCACCTGAGGGCTTCCGAAACCTGGTTGAATTCCGTACAGCATTTCTTGAAACACACTAAAAGAGAATAATCTGTAGTAATTTTTATTAAGTTAGAGATTTAAATTTGAATATTTTAATTTCATTGATAATGTTGTTTGTATTCCACAAGTACAATGTCATGACCGCTCAAAATAAAATTAAATATATAAATCAAGAATAATTCAACAATGGAGGATGTACAATTGATTATAAATAGTAACATATTTGTTACTAAAAAACGCTGTTAAAATCTTCTGGAAATTTGATTATTTCTTAAGTATTGTCAGTCACAAGGATTAATTGTTTCTGTATTAATTAATTTATTTAAATGAAACATAGCTTGACCGACTAGTTAGAATCATCTTGAATAAATAAACTGTAAAATAAGTGATAGAGAAGCTTTTAAAAAGGATTTTAAATTGACTTCATTTTTAAATAATTACCTGCTTCTCACCGCCAGAATAGCTCTGACGCCAATGAATTTGACCCTCTGCTTCTGGTATCCAGACACAAAGAAGGTCACGTCGAACAAATTTGCATTCAACATGGCGTTGCCTTCGTTGTTCAAGAAGACCCGCGTGAAATCCTTCGAAAGCTGATCATAATCCTCAAATTGGTCTCTGACTGAATCCAAAAGTGGCGAGGATGGTCTCATGTGACCGATTGGTCTCCAAGAACCACGCCTACAGAAATTTCAATTTAAAGTCATTTACGTTCTTGTATTTCCTACAGTCAAATTCAGTATCATTTTAGAAATGAATACAAATATTTTAATTAATGATAACGATGACAGAAACAAGACAACTAATTTTTAAAGAAGATGTATTACTAAATTCTATAGTTTTTATTAATATTTTTGATTATCATGTGAAAGTTGCAAAAGGACATAAAACTTCAGCATTTATTTATTAAATTAATGATACAAAAAATCATAAATCTTATTATCGTATATAATTATACTACATGCCAATTTTATTTTGGTAGGATATTAGTGATTTAGAGTCAATATTTTTCGTGGAAAGTAAAGAATTATAAATTGTAATTTTAGAAACCTAAACTTAAAAGTTTTATTTCTCTAATTAGATAATATACAACGATAGAATCCGTTGTTTTTGACCGTTACCTATATGGTTTCGGAATTTCTCCAGTCTCCGCGTGATTGGCCAAATTGGTCACGATATCTTCCAGCAGTTGACTCCGCGTCCTTTCTTGCATTCGTGCAAACTTTGGTGCCGAGTAGCTCGCCCTTTCTCCGTTCACGATTTTCGTTAGAATCCATTCGCGGAACATCGGTCCTGCGAACCGAGAAACTTCAATTGAATTTGCTGCCCTAATTACTTCGGTCGCTGCCTTTTGTCTAGTGCCTTTCTTCCAGAATTTAAATTATCACATACAAAATAAAAAGAGCTCTGATCAGAAATAAAATCTTCTATCAATGAATTTGATGAAAAACGAGAATTACTTTTATTCAAAATAATATTCAATATTATTTTTCAATTTTCAATTCATTCAACATTAGATAGCTTAATATTAGAAAATATATATATTTAATATTTAAATCGTATCTTATTGTACGTAACAAAATTACTATCGTTTGAAAGAGATAAACACAGGTTCCGCAAAACAATCGTCAAGCAAATAAAGTAAAATTTGATTTCCTATCAATAGTTTCAGTTGATTAAAAGCAATACAAAAATATTCAATAGAATTCTATAAATATTATTAGAAGCATTAAAAATCTTATAACAAGCTAAATTAGATATTGATCTTTTTAATACTAGAAATTGTGAAAATTATGTATTGATCTCTTATTGTATACATAATTAAAATCTTTGATTTCTTTTTTGATTCTAGACATGTAAATCCAATACAACAAACCGATAAAAAATAGTTCAGGTAGCATAGAAAATAGGGAATGAATAATTATCGTAAAAATGCCAGTTATTACCTTTCTCAAAGACATTCTGTTCCCACAGGTATGGCTTATAGGCGCCTACTTCGTCCCTTGTTACAACGGACACCTCGTATCTAGTAACTTTTCTTTTTATACGCGGGCTGACGCGCACCAGAATGAACGTGTGCAGGAAATGCGATTTTATACACGCCGGGTTGAACTGAGTGTTGTCGGCTTCTAGGAACACGACGCACACTATGTCGTTGCCGATGTGTCGCTTTCGTTGGAGCTGTGTAACGCAACAATTTTATATTCATCAGACTTCTAATTCACCGAAATTGAATTCCTTACTCGTGATCGAGGGAATATTTACAAACAATAAGCAGAATTGCTGATTTCTTAATATGTCCCGAAGTTAATAAGAACAATATTAACAGAGATGTTTAAAAAAATAAATAAAATATTTTATTTGAATTCATCCTAACATATAATAGTTAAGTATTATTGAGAAATTTGCCTGACTATTAATTATATTCAGCATAATACTGTTCTAATTTACTAGAGAGCTGGTACCTATTATTTATACTATCGTCGGGTTACATTTTATAATAAAAACAAAAACTTAAAATTAAACAACGAATTCATACATATGATTAATAAACGTATTGAAAATTTTGAAATTGTGAGATTCAGTGTATTAATGATTCGTTACTAAAATGAAAATGGGTCGTGGTGAACATTGTAAATAAAATTTAACAAGCATCAATATTACTCAACTCCTTTGAATTCAAATGAAATATTATTCTTTTGTTACCAATTATTAGATTGGAGGGAAAACGTAGACATAGAATATACATCGAATCTTTTCCTTTTTTCACTAAATTATTTCTGACAAAGTTATTGTATCGGTCACAGTTGAAAAGTAGATCATAAGGCAAGAGGTTAGGAAAGGAAGGGCAACAAATTTTTCGCAGCATTGGGGCTACGGTATTATTCTTCATTCTCGCATTGAGTATTTTGATTACTCACGAATGAGATCAATGTACCTTCTGGGGATCGTTCTTCTCGTAAGGCAACATCGTGGAAACGTGGAACATGATCTCGATGCCCCTCCAGTTCGTGTAGACAGAGTACAAGCCGGTCAGATCGTGGATGGTGTCCAGACCGCCCTTGTACTTGTCGAAACCCTTCAACCGTACTTTATCGCCGAGGATTTGCAGGAACTCTTCGAAGAATAGTGAATTCTCGTTGTTGTCGAGGATCGCCTCTTCGGTGAGCTGGCCTTCTTGAACGTAAATCACGCCAACCTTCAGCTCCGACTTTATAAACACTTGATCCAACTTGAGCAGCTCCTCTTGAGTGTCTGGTAACTGACCCAGAGTCAGGGCTGGTTTCACGTTCACCTCTTCGCCGAGGCTGCGGACAACTGCTTCGCGGTTGTACCTGCGAAATAAACAGAGAAGTTTCGTAAAGGATTGTAGTGGAACTTCTAGGTACCCTGAAATAATGATTTCTTTTCTATTCAATAGAATATTATTAATTGAATAATATTCGCCTTTTGCATTTACAAATGTTTACCAGAAGTAACGGTTAGAGGATATTAGTACTAATAATTTGTTTTTTTTCTTATTAGTTTCTAAATTATGAACTAAATGCAAAGAACTATATGATAGATTAATAGAAATTGAGAAATTCTATTTAAATCTTGATAGGCAAAATTATCATTAGGTAGGGTGTAATCTGATTATTTTAACTTTTATTTCTATTTCTATTTCTATTTCTACTTCTATTCCTACTTCTACTTCTACTTCTACTTTTACTTCTACTTCTATTCCTATTCCTATTTCTATTTCTACTTCTATTCGTACTTCTATTCCTATTTCTATTCCTATTTCTATTCTTATTTCTATTTCTCTTTCTGTTTTTACTCCTATTTCTACTTCTACTTTTAATTCTATTTCTATTTCTATTTCTATTTCTATTTCTACTTCTACTTCTGCTTCTATTTCTACTTCCATTTCTACTTCCATTTCTACTTCCACTTCTACTACAACTTCAACATCCAATTAACCAACATTTCGCATAAAACTAAACCCACCGTGTACCGAACCCCTCCAACTATTTCCAAAATATAAATTCCCCAATCATCACAAACAAGAACAAAACATCAAAGTACCGATCAGCAAAGACGCAGCTGGCAGGTATCAGGCCATGGACCGTATAGCTAATGGCCCTGACGAGGATTCTGAACTGATCTCGGTTGTTCAGCGTCTCCTGCTTAATGCTCAATATCACCGGGCCGAGATCCTCGTCGTTAGTGAAGTAGTTCCAGTGCTCGCGCTGGTAGAAGTACTTCTCGTAAGTCTCCTGCTCGACGGACGTGAGCTCGAATCCCTGGTTCTTCTCCCATTGCTCCTCGATGGTGGTCTTCTTCCTGGGCATCTCGTCCGTTTCCACTTCCGGCTCCTCGTAGAAACAGTAACTGTCGTCCTCGTGCCGCCTTGGACCAGGCTCATCGTCGCCTTGTTCTGGATCGGTCCCATCGCCGCTCTCGCTTTCGTTCCAGAGCTTGTGGGGCCTGATCTGCTGCCGCGAGCACTCGATCCAGTAGCCGGGCGTCGGCTCCAGATTGTGCGGGTAATCGCTGCAGAACTCCTCTGCAACGAGAGTTCGAAGTTTCGTTAACCTTCGCGAAAATTCTGTTTACTTATCCCTGCATCTGTCCTTTTATTTTGAGTTTCTTATTTACTTAGTTACCTGCTGTTTGCATATCATTGTATTTTCATGTGATTTTCTGCATTCAATTGTGTTCTCCTTTTTTCGAAGATGATCTTGAACTTTAGAAGCGTGTATGAATGTTTGTGTTTTCTCGAGAATATTTTGAGAATAACATCGAGTAATGCTATTGTTAAAGCTTTGTGACAGTTTATAGAAAAACATCCTTTGATGGATTGGAAATTCGAAGTGTCAAGTGTTCCCATCATTGAAATTTAGATTATTATCCAATAAATACACTGAATGTTAAGTGTAAACGGAATATTAAAACAATCAAACGTTAAAACACTACTTACTTTATGTAGATGCTTCTACCAGAGAATATATATGAAAAATTGATTAATCCAATTTCGATAAGCAACCCGAAATCCCGCTACAAACATTTTCACTTTCCCAAAGCCACGGTGCACCCTAAATCACTAAATCAGGGACATTCTCACAGATTTCAATACTCACACATTTCCTCATCAAAGAAATCTCTCCTAAAAATCGACTAAAAACGCAATCAACTCATCAAAAAACTCCTCCAACCCCTGAAAACAAAATCCTTCCGCTTGAAACCTGCAAAATCCGGTCGAACAGTACCCGAGCAAAGCTCGAAAACTTCTACGTGCAAGTTCGATCGGTTAAACGGGAACAACCGCAGCCGCTTCCAGCGACTTCATCGATCAAATTCCGTTTTCGCGTGCGCAATCAATCACCTCCTCGAGCTGCTCGTCGGGCACCCTCGAAAACAACCCCGAGCGAGCATCAGAAAAATCATCCTCGACTCAAGGAAGACCATGCGAGACGTCCTCCGAACGAAGACGAGTTTGTTCGGTCCACGTGCCGAGGCCGCGGAGAATCACTGAATCGGTCGGCTCTCGAAATCATTAACTGTGGAATCCGATATCCGCCGCGTCGTAGGGGGTTACCTCGGATCCGTCACGGAAACAACAAAGGGGATGACGCCGGACATTTTCTTCTCGGCCTGGAACGCGATTCTCCAATCACTTAGTCACGTAGCACTGATAATGTGCCGTTGATCCACCCTTCCTTGAATCCTTCCTCTTCAGCAATCCTCTATTCGATTGCTCCCTAGCTTCCTTATGCTCCTTTCGGTTCCTTTCCTCCGGTCGTTGACAATACCACAGTCGACTCACTGTAAGGTAGAACACCAAACTATTTACACACAGGCTTGGTAGTCGAACTTATAGTGAACCGGCCGGGGCGCGTTCATCCTGGCCTCCGCGAAGTTGTCTTTACGCTAGCCTCTAATCTCGGCTACCCCGCGCTGCAACTAATGGCCTTATAGTGCTCCGTAAATTCGATCGCCGATGGTGGCTGGCGCTCCAGTTTCCTCTGACCCTTTACCTCGGCCTGATATCCTCCTACGCTACTCCGCAGAATTAAATGCTCGCTAAATTGTAATCGGAAATTGCCGGTTTTTGGGTTACTGTCACTTTCGGGTGGAAGGCTGTTCAACATTTTGTTGGAAGATATTTTAAAGTAGTTTCTACTTTCGCTGTTTTCAAGCTATTTGTTTTCTACGATGTTTTTAATTTATTTATTTATTTATTTATTTGATTGAAGTGATAATAATTCTTTTAACGATGAATTCTTTGTTTTTTCAAATAAGCATGTAATTCTTCTTTGTTTTTCTTTGGTTTTTCATTGAAATATACCTTAGGTGCATTCGTCCTGCATTTGACGAGTAAACACTTCAGTCTCTTATTTAATTATGCGCAAAATGAGAGAATTTTGAAACTAAATTCCACAGTTAATACGTTAAAGATGGTCCCTAGGAACCAGAACTTGAAATTATCAGTTTCACTATCATTGTCTGCTTTTTGTGTTGCGTTTCTTAGCTTGAAAACAATACATGTTTTAGTTTTTGCATTCCTTAATTCTTACTACTATCTAACTGATAATAGAAAGTTACATAGGGCGTGCGATTGGTCTTTTTTACTAGATACTCGATTATACACACGTATAATTGCTCTCGAATGGATTAAACAATTTCTTTTCCAATTTAGATCTCCTTTTTACAGTGATTTCCTAAAGCGCCTGCGATTTCTTTTACTCTTCTATCAATGAGAAGCAGAATCTCGGTGAGCGTCGTTTCAAGAAAACAACTTCAGCATAATTTCATTTCCATGAATTAGTCATTGGAACAAAACAAATGACTCGAGAGTGGAAAACATGTGTATTCCGTTTACGTGTTTTCGGCTGCTTCGAGAGGCGCGTTATAATCGTGGCTGCCGGTGAACGTATTAGTGGCAGTAAACACGCGTGCAATGAAATTCTCCGTGTTTTTATTACCCGGCTTGATTAAAAATCCTTTCGAGCGCACAGCCTTCCGCATAAAACTTTGCACTTGCCTGTTTCTCTCGCGTTTTGTTGAAAACAGTCTAGTGCAAATGCTCCGGCGAAAACACTCTCCAGTTGAAAAAAGTCAGAACGATTCCGCGAGTCGGATCACTTTACTCGAAACTTGAAAACTTCCTGTTTTTCTCTTTAAAAAAAAGAGGAACAACTCTTTCCGATTGTGTAGTAGTATATCTCGCGTTGGTAATATAATCATTGTGATAATCACTAGCTTCACGCGTCAATTTGACACACTGAATTTTATAAACATTACTTGCTAAATATTTCCATCGATTTTCATTGCTACACGAATTGTGTAATTGTGTATTTTGAATCCTCTAATTTCGAGGATCTAAGTAGACGAACTATAATTTTTTTAGGAATAATAGAATGAACTGACGACGATTCTAACGTGAAATCTGTCAGCGTACGAACTAGAAACGTGTAATCTTGTAAAGACGACGCAAATTACCGATTGATCCGTTCGACAAATTCACAAATACCAGAATCAGATGCGTAATTGCGTGCTTTACGTTTCCGAAGCCGTCGATTTCGATTCGAAATTGAACCGGTGTGGGACGACAGGCAAGTGTGATGTGTTAATTAAACGTTTATGTAACTTAAATGTGATTAGACTGTATATTTAAATTTAATTGTGACGATGTAACGACATAGTGTTGGCTCTTTACGTTGAATTCATAATTCCCGAGACACGGAACAAGATTCTTTCTGTTGAACATTCTTAGTTCGGTGTCAAAAGAGTTTCGTTGGTCGGTTTCTACTATTAGAGTTTCGTAATAACGAAAAGCAGTTTGCTATGCCACTGTTACACTTTACTGTTGCCACTCATGATGTTACATTTCACATTTCGTTCACTTTGACCTTTCATTTTTCTGGTATGTGTACCGATGAACTATAACAGTTTAATCATTGATACGTGCGAACGAAATGAACTTTCGAATTCAAATATCTCCTATACGATTTGTTATTTCACGTTTTCAATTAATTTTTTGTATTAGTTGTAACACGGTTCTATCACGATTTCGGAGACACCCTGTATAGAGGGTAATCCTGACATGTTAATTATAATACTCGTTTTCGATTCGATCGCATGGCTTGGATTAACGTCTCCCACACGTGACATTTTTAATTTGTGGAAATTCTACTGTATCTGCAGAAATACGCATTTATCACTGTATCGAAGATTGTTTTTAAATAAATAAATATTGCGAAATTAAACGAACGCATACGGCTCGAGCAATCTTTAATTAAATTCCAAGCCAAACGGTGAACACACATACTCCGTATACAATTTCATTTTTCATTCGTTAGGAGCTGAATGTTCCATTAATCTATCAGAGATACAAAAGGAATCGTAGTATACCTTTGTTATACTACATACAAAGGACAGTACCTGTGTCAGATTAAAAGAAACAATTCGTTACGATGAATGAACAAATGTATACAGTCTAAATATAAAAACAATTGAAAATTCGTAGAGCCAGTTACGATGCTTCGAACTTGAAACTTAAGAAAAAGTTGAAAAAAGATATTTCGTTTTACTTCTAAAAATACAGTTATTCATGCTGATATTTTTTATAATTCAGCATTTTCGTAGAAATTTGGAATTCGTTAAGTAATTAATTATTTTTAAAAGTAATTAGGACTTTAATTAAATTTAGCTTTACTTAGTACTTTACTTAAATTTAGGTTTACTTAGTACTTTTCTTAGTACTCTATCTAAATACTCTACCTAATATTCTATTTAATACTCTACTTAATAGTCTACTTAATACTCTACTTAATATGCTACTTAATACTCTACTTAAGATTCTGATTAACACTCTAGTTAATACTCTACTTAATACTTTACTTGATAATTTACTTTAAAAAGTACTTCATTAAGTACTTTACTCTAAAAAGTAATTAATACTTCATAAAGTATTTCACAAAATAATGAATACTTCACATAATACTTTATTGTAAAAACTAATTAGTACATCATCTACTACTTTCCCCCAAAAAATAATCAGTTACTTTTACCATACCGCTATTAATCGTTCGAAAATTTGCGAGGCAACGATTATTCCCGTTTACCAGAATTACCGTTCGCGTTTCTCACGCGTGGAACAGACGGAATCGCGCGATGCTCGCAAGAAACGGGCCAAGAACCACCTGTAGCTTCGGCCCGTGCATACGCGCGTCTGTAAAAAGTTCCGGGAGCTTTTCCTTCCGGGCCGCTCGAGACACGAGAGTCGGAAGCGGCGAAATCATCGCGTGGCAAATCCCACTCACTCACCTACGCACGCCTGCGACGGCAACGGGAAGATCAGCGTGGTCGATGATTTCCTTCTCGCAACTGCGCAGCCTAAACTTTGTGGCTTGAAGCTGCGCAATTGCTGCATGAAGTCCGAGCACTCCATCAGCGCCACGTCAGCGAAGTGAAGATCGCAAAGTATTTGATTTTTAAATCTGCGAACCAACGGAATTACCTTTGGATTATTCAATGGTAATTATGTAGATTAGAGGTGATTCGTCATTCATTTTAATGACCTTCAAGTATACGAGCAGTTCTTCATGGTGTAAGTCCAGTTTTTAATACACTGAGATATTTAAGGGTTGGCGTTTAAATCAACTTAAAAATATTAACGTTAATCAATTCGTGGAACGTTCATAAAGGCATAAGATTGTTAGATTTTATTATGCAATAATAATTAATGAAATTGTTACATGAAATAAACGATTTTTTTCATTAAACGAACTTATTCCATTTCCAAAGAAAATATTTTTCCGATTACTTCTTACAGGTGAACTTTTTTTTATTAAGTTATGAGTATGTCGTGCGCCATTGATTGTGTTTATAAATATGAAAAGAGGATATCTATATGTTACTAAAACTACCATTAGCTGATTTTTTAAAAATGCACATATACTACTTTCGAGAAAAACAACTCGAATATCGTGCTTATTTATTGGGCTGCGATTGTAAATATGTATGATCTTTTTATTACTATATTACTGACAATTTAAACATCTATTCCTTTTCCATTTATTATGATGCTAAATCCTTTTGAAGCTAATGGTAATTATTAACAATAAAACGATAGAAGGGCAGGAAAAATAAATAACCGTAGAAAATACTTACTCCAAGAATTTGTGTAAATTAAAGATTCAAGATTAAAATAAAATTCAAAAGATGAAAATTGGTGAATATGAAATATTTAGAGCATTGTTAATTAGTCATAATAAGTCATCATTAATATAAAAATTGTCAGTTGCGAGTATAATATTGTTTGTTGTTCCTAATAGCAAACATTTAATTTATTTTTCCATTAGTAGTGTTTTAATCGGGATTTAATAACTGAAATTTTCAGATTTGATTATTAAACACTCAATTATGAGAATACTGGGAAACATGTGGTACTTAACTGAGCAAATATATCAATGTGTTAGATACGCTTCTCCTGTCAAGGGTGAAACGAATAAATTTCTGAAAGTGGAATCTCTCTTAGAACGATACTTCTCGAACTCGAGCAGACATTATCGCGGTGCGAAAACAATCGTACGGGGAGCGAAGTTTCATGAAAGTCGAATCCGGTCGATAAAAAGTGAATCCGTTGGCGTCCCGACGGCGGTCGTTATTGGATCACGCCAACCCTCTTATCTCCTTTATCATCCTTTATTATCCCGGATTCACGCAATACCAATTAAAATCAGCACGATGCCGAAGGAGTGGTACGAATCACGATTCGAATGAAATCGTTATCCAGCCAACCGAACTGTTAACACGTTTACAGTGTTCATTACTCTTTGCATCATTAATTAACTGTAAGAACGTTGCAGGTACTGTTACAAAATAACGGGGACTGCATAAATGTCAACGTTTTAATTGGTGACAATTAGACGGTACTGCTTATCGAATAACAACGTGAAGCGATACATTCTTTGAAATTAATTTATTATGAAATAAACTATGAAATTAACAAACATTAAGAATAATATATTGTTATACAAACAGTGATATACACGAAAGGTTCTTCTTGTTAATTGAATCGAAAGAATTATTTGTTTCACTTAAATAAAATTATCGCGGTGTTTAGTTTGAAGTTTATACTTTTTAAAATTCGAAAATAGTGAGGCTGTTTTGTTTTTTAACTAAATTTAACAATTTTAATTTTGCCTCTAGATTGAGTGTCGAAAATTCATTAACGGTTTTTAATTCTGCCAAATGAACATCGAAAATTTTCACATTCGAAAAGAGAACATCACTGTCGCGTTTATTTGCGTCGCGTTTTTTAACACTCATTTAAAAGACAACTGCAACAATTCGCCCAGAAGAAGTGCATCAGACGCATTTAACTCGTCGTCGAAACAAAATGCTTGAAATCTGTTTCGAACCCGGAACCAAATCGAGTTACACTCGATCGCCCCCGGATCTCGCATAAATTTCACGGCTTCCGCGCCATAACCGCCACCCGAATCAGCCGTTTTATCACGGTCTTAAACGTCGAGATAAAAAAACACAAACGCCGAAACAAAATAGTACAATGCGCGAAACAAAGTTTAATCGCACTGATGGAGATCACTGCAGTCAGTGCGATATGCGTTCCCAACTTTACGACTGCTGGATGTTTTAACTGATTGAATCGAGTGGGCGGCGGTCCATCACGATTTTTCTCGAAAAAATATATCGCGATTGAAAAAATCCGTCAACGAAAACGATCGCTCGTGCAATTCGAAATGAACGCGAGTTGTACCGTTCTTTTTTTTTATCTCTTTCTCCATTTTTTCAAACTGGTGCGTCCCCTAAATCGTGACACAATTGTAATGACGATAAAAAACAATTTGAAAGCTTGCGATGTAGTTTTTTTATATTTATAAAATCGAATTTCAAAATATTCGATTTCGAAACTTATAAATACACTGCAGTTGCGTTTGACAGATATAGTTTTTTATGGACTGCAGAAAAATTGTAAAAATTTCGATTAAATGTAGTATTATATTATAAACAAGATAAAAATCTTGTTAAATTCACTTACATATTTTCTTGAAATGAATTTTTAATTAATTCAGTGTATAGATATAAATCAATATTGGTGATCTTGGCATTTTGTTAAATTTGTAATATTATTTTAACATTATAGTATATTACATTAATATATTATTTATCATCGATACCTTTAGAAAATCTTAGAAAGAAAATCATTCATTTCAATTGGAACAAAAAATTCTTTATATCTTTTGAAAATATTAGTTTTGCAGGGCATATTTATTGAAACTTTTTTGCAAGTACATTAAGAAATATTATTTGTCTTAAAAATTATGAATACTTTTTTTGTATCAACCTATATAAATTTCCATTTTGTTTCTCAAAAATTAGTAAACATTTTGCCAATATTTTGCCATCCTATAGCCGAGTGTTACAGAATAAACTGTGGACCGTTAAGGACAGAATCCGAATCGAGACAACGGGGGAGCAATAAAAATGCTCTTTTTCGTTTCGAAAGCGTCGAAAGACCGTGTACATGAAATAACAAACGGGATGTTTATCGTGCGACCAGGACCCAAGTATTTCCTCTATAAATAGGAAATTAAAGCAGCTGCCGTGTGAAATTACGGTGGCGCCATCGAGAAATGGGAAACAAGAGCTAGAGTGCGTACTGTCAAGTGCAAGCTAGAATATCGTTGTGATCCTGTTACTCACCGTCTTGCCTGTTTCTGTTTCGGTCCCGTGAGATTCACGCCGCAGCTGTTACATTTTGAGCATTCCTCATGGTAGTGATTGTTGTCGTACAACGGCGACGGCTCTTGAAACAATAAATTGAAGGTGCGTACAATAGTGAATATTTGTTGGAAATGTATTCAGATTTAACAATAGTGAATATTTCTTGGGTATAGATTCAGATTTAGCAATAGTCAATATTGCTTGAAAATAGATTCAGATTTAACAATAGTAAATATTTGTTGGGAATAGACTTAGTTTTTAGAGCGATGTATATTTCTTGACAAGTAGATTTAATTTTTTCAGTAGTACATATTTCTTGAAAATAAATTTAGGTTTCTTAATAGCAGATATTTTTTAGGAATAGATATTAATTTTTTGTTCGAAACCATTATTCTAGGTTTGTTTATAAAATCTAATTAAACATTTCACTCGATTTTATTGATACATATTAATCTAGAGTAATATTAACACATATAAGAATTATAAACATTTACATTCATTCACACTTGTGAAAAGGAACCATTTTCTAATTAAGAAATAACAATATAAAAAGGAAGTAATTGAGCTTATAATAAAATTTCGTTTACTAGTATCAAGTTAAAGTAGGTTTACCTAGTTTAAACAAAATTAATAGCTTGTTCTGTTAATTACGTATGAAAGTCTCATTTCACAAATTCGATCAAAGAAACTTATATTTCAGTCTATGAAGAATTGTTTAATTTATACGTGTTATCTTTCGAATAATATTACAATAGATACAAAAGAGACTTCATATAAAAAAATGAGCAAAAATTATGACGAAGGTTTTTTCAATGATGCTTATATCTACCTTTCCAGGTAAAATTCTCTTGATAAAGACAAAATGGTTGCTGAACTAATTAAAGGTCCAGCAAAATATGTCTCCAGCATTTAATCCCGAATTAATCGAAGCTTCGTTTATAGGGTATTACAACTATCAGGATAATTCAATTTCAATTAGTACTTCTCCGCGTTACTGGCTTCATTAAGCTTCAATTACATCTATAATTCGTTCGAATTTACTCTGTAACGTCTAACAAACGAAAAGGACCTTATTTCCTTCTCTTTTATCTCTTCTGTTTATTTACGAATTTTTTATCACAAATAACTACAAAAAATTGTCTCTTCCTCACCTACTTAACTATACAAATAATAAATAGTAAAGTGTAAAGTATATTTAACACATTTTTACAATAATGAAACAAAAATTTATTGAATATGTTATCGATTTTACAAGTGACTTCTTCCTGTAGGTTGTAAATGGAATAGGATTTTTATTAAGGTTTATCAACATTATTTTTTCTTGTTTGACGCGCATTATGAAATTTCAAATGAAGATACAAATGTAATAAATTCACTGGATATTCAGGAAACACGAGACGCTTGAGGAAACGAGTACTACGAGCAACTGACTACTTGTACAGGTTTAATTTTATCAAGAAGAGGGTTGCAACCCCATGAATATTCTATAGGGTTGCTCGGTCACTCAATGGGTTTAACGCTTTATTCAATTCAGAGTTGGGAATTCCTTTACGTTTTATTTGCATAAAATCCATGCACCACCTATTACTATTTGACTTAAAGTTAACAGTATAAATAAAACATTTTTTAAATATCTTACTTATCTCTTTTAGAGAATTTCCAAAATACTGCCACTCACTTCTTTGAAATTGTTAGAAAATCATTTTCAATTCGACGAAAATATTACTTCTCGAAAATCACATTCTATCATTTCACTATAAGTTCATTAAAAATGCAAAAAGCTGTTACTTATATCATATAGAATATTTCAAAACATTCACTATTCCTTTCACTTTCGAGACCTCTATACAAAAATCACACAATTGTGCAACAATAATAATTTTCAAACTTACAAATTTTCTCTATAAAGATCCTAAAAATGTTAAAAATATCTCGTGTATATAGCCCAGGACATTCAACAAAA